TCTTCCTGCCTCACCCTCCTGAGTTGCTGGGATTACAAGTGTGCACCACCACATCAGGCAGATAAACTTTTTTTTTTAAATGTAAATTTTACCTCAAGAGGAAAAAGTCACCTGAACAGTCTAAGCTCAAATTGATGATGTACATGCTATAGAAATGTCTGTAACTAATTTTGAAATGCATTCAGAAACTCAATGAATTGGATGATGTATGGATAAAGGACTGGATGTACATAAAATGATGCAAATGTCAAAAAAGTGAATGGTCATATCTAGGTTTTTAGTGTGTGGGCGTTAACTGTAAAGTTATTTTTAACCTTTTTATATATTTAAAAATTTCATTATAAAATATTGGAGGAGAAACCTAGGCAATCAAGAAAGAATATAGTAATCATGAAAATAGGTTTTGGGTTTTTATTTTTATTTTTTTATTAGTTGCTCAAGACAATGATCTTGACATATCATTCATTTGATTCAAATAGAGTATGAATTCTCATTTTTCCACGTGTACAGATTGCAGGATCACATTGGTTATAGAGCCATGTATATACACACAGCAATATTAGTGTCTGTTGTATTCTGCTGCCCTCCCTATCCCCCTCTCCCCTCCTCTCCCCTCCCATCACCTCTCTCTACCCAATCTACTGTGATACTTTTCTCTCTCTTTTTTTCCCCTTCCCCCTCACACCATCCTATATGTATTTTGTGTAATCATGAGGGTCTCCTTCCATCTTCCGTGCAATTCCCCTTCTCCCTTCCATTCCTTCCCACTTCTCTTCCCTGTTTAGTGGTAATCTTCTTCTCATGCTCTTCCTCCCTACTCTGGTTTGAGTCACCTCCCTTATATCAGAGAAGACATTTGTCATTTGTTTTTTAGGGATTAGTTAACTTCATGATAGTTTGTCACAAGTAAGTTCTGGAAGAAAGCAGACTATAATATGTATAGGGGCAAGGCAGATATTGTGCCTACAGACACAAATGAACTACAGCATATTAATTTCTATCCATACAATGTTTGTTTGTTTTTAGTTATTAATAAGCCTGGTTTAAAAACTATGGAGACTTAATATAAAAGTTCTAGATTCCTGCCAGCTTAAATTTTGTATATGATAAAAGTGGTCTTTCAGATCAGAAAAGAAGCACGTTCTTCAGTGAAACATATTGGACAACTATTCATTTACAATGAAATAAAGCCCAAATCCTTTCACATTGATTAAGAAAATATAAATTCTAGATGGAACAAAGATTTCTAAGTTATTTTTGTTGGTACATTATAATTATCCATAATGGTGGAATTTATTGTTACATATTTATACATGCACACAATATAACAGTTTGATGGAACAATAGATTTTAATTATAAAATCTATTACTAGAACCCCCTAGTACTTCAGTAATTAGAGTGATTTTATCTAAATGGTGTTTAACTAGAGACTCAAAGGAATATAGTAATCTTTATCCAGAATCCTTTGATTCTAATAAGTCCTACTGTATATTGAAAAGTAAAGAGATTTATGCTTTTGTCAGTAAGACATAGGCTTAAATTATTTTTCTATTTTTTATCCAGAGTTTTTGGAAGGTACAAAAAGTACTCTGAACTTTAATTTCCTAATGTTTTGCCATGGCAAAAATATTCTAGCATGGGCCATCTCTTACTATTTTCCATAAAGAAGTTGATACAGAGATAATAATTCTTCTGCTCTGCATTATCTATAATGATGTGTTTGGTAGATATTGTCAATTTTAAAAAAAATTTATTTATTTTTATTTTTTAGTTTGCTGGAAACAATGTCTCACTATACAGATGAACCCAGATTTACCATAGAACAGATAGATCTGCTTCAGCGCCTTCGGCGTACTGGAATGACTAAACATGAAATTCTCCATGCCTTGGAGACTTTGGACCGTCTTGATCAAGAGCATAGTGACAAGTTTGGAAGAAGGTCCAGTTATGGAGGAAATTCATATGGGAACAGTACCAACAATGTTCCAGCATCTTCCTCTACAGCTACAGCCTCTACACAGACCCAGCATTCGGGAATGTCCCCATCACCTAGCAACAGTTACGATACCTCCCCACAGCCTTGCACTACCAATCAAAATGGGAGGGAGAATAATGAGCGATTGTCTACATCCAATGGGAAGATGTCACCAACTCGCTATCATGCAAACAGCATGGGTCAGAGGTCATATAGTTTTGAAGCCTCAGAAGAGGACCTAGATGTAGATGATAAAGTGGAAGAATTAATGAGGTTAGTTACTTTGCTTATTAAGACTCTCCAAGAATGTCTGTGTTCTTAGATTATTTTTTAAGTAATAACTGTATTTCAGTTACTTAACTATTAGAACTGATATTTTTCATTCCTTTCTTTGGAAATGAAAGAAACTGTATTCAAATATTATGATTTTCACTTCTCTACTTTAGTAGCACCTCTCCTTTTTTTTTTTTTTTTGCTAGTTGATGAACTCTTTCATTCTTTCTGTTTATCAAAGGTTAGTTTTCTCTTTGTGGCTCTAACAGCTAATTTCTGTCTAACAAAAGTTAGTTTAATCCTTTACTGTATTGTAAGTACTTTTTCTGAGGAATAAGATAATTTTATTTGATACTGAATATGTACATTCTTCATTTTTTCTTCTAACATTCGAAGCCACAAAATAATTTAAGCAACTGTTTGACAAGAAGTAATTTTTAGTGGAACTACCATGCACTCATAAAAAGATACAAAAAAACGCATAATTTTTAGGAAGATTGGCACTATTTTTGCCTGAAAGAACCTTAAGTTCTAATTTTAGCAACAGATGCATGCACACGCAAACACACACACACACACACACAATTACAAGTTAAGTATGAACACTGAGAATTTTAAACTTCAAGAAGAGATGCCCACCTTGAACAGAGGTAATAAAGAAAGGTGTCACACGAGACACTGGGTCATTATGAGGATGGCACTGTGTATTTTCCATTGCTATCTGTGGCCTTAGCCTAGAATTTTCCTTAGCACATGTTAAGTGCCTTATATGTTAAGTGATTGAATGAATTTGACCTCAACCTTAAAGGATAGCCACTGTTTTAAAAGATGAAAACTTTATTTAAAAAATAAATAAAACCATATTTAATGTTAAGGGATTAATATGATACCAGAAAAGATAAGATATATCTTTAGTCTGATAATGATTATAGATGCAGAAGCTTATTTCTTGCTTTTATAATTATGTCAAAATGAATCCTACTGTAACTAAAAAGAACCAATAAAAAGAAAAAACAAAATTCCAGATGCAGTCTACCACTAAGCCACATCTCCAACCTTAGCTGCTGCTTTCGAATGTAATACATGTATTGTTAAGATTAAAAAGGAGAATTGTTTGGGCATATATAGTAAGATGAACTTTTGAAATATAATAAGATGAACTTTTAATTTTCCTGAGTAGAGAAGATGTCAACAATAAAATTAATTTTTTAGGTTTTAGTCTGTTTTTGTTGTTGCTGTTACTTATTTTTTATAAGCTTTCAATATAACAGTTAATTCCCAAGTATGTATTATAGTAACAAGAAATATGGGCCACTGTCATAAAAAGGAAATACTGTAAAAGATGGGACAGTCTAATAAAGATCTAAAACCTTGACTTTTAACTCATAGTTTGACATAATACTTCATTTCAACTGCTTTATATCACAAATAAGCAAAACCTGTTAAAAACAACTGGAATTTATAGTTAAATCCCACATTACACGTGTTTGAGTTCCATCATTAAATATTATACATTATAATTGGTATTTAACTTGCATACTGTCACTTGTTGCATAATTAGAATACTCTCTTGCTTGAGTGAGACACTATCTTTCCTTTTTTTTCTGCTTCCTTCCTAGAATTGCTTTTTTTTGTGTCCTTTACTCATATAGGGGGTCTCCTTGGATCTCCTGGCATCCTCTGGACCTCTGCCATTCTCCCTTCCTCCAGTGTGGTCCCTGCTTCTTTGCTCAAGTTTATAGAAGATAATCATAAAAATTAAATAATTTACCCAAAAAACCTTAGATATTATGTAACAGAGCCTAAATTATAACCCCATGTTTTTATTACCAATATTTTGCTGGTATATGTTGCTACTGTAAATAAATTATTCATGTTTATAGATTTTAATAAGACTTTAGGAAAAGTAGTTTATATAACTGGAGACACAGCCTTACTGGGCTTGCCATTCCCCTTCCCAACATGATATTTATCACTTCAGATCAATCACTTATTTACCAGATGAATTTTTATTGCTGGAATGTTAGAAATTTTTTTGAACAGTATATCTTTGAGTATTCCTTGTCTGCCTAGGTATGTACTGCCCTTGCTGATCACTCAGCACTGGTGACATTACAAATGCCTTCCTGCCTTCATTTTTATGTATAAAATCCACCTTTTCTGGTTCACATTGAGAAAACTCTAGGCTAGATGCATTTTCCAAATCTCATAATCCACTGAGTCTATACTGGATTATAATTTCAAGGTACACAGTGGAGATAGAATGGCATCAAGTTATAATTGTATACCTGAACAACTTGTTAAGAAAGGGTCAGAAAGAAAAAAAATGGCTACTTTTCCCATTTTTTTAATTAGGGTAGGGAATAAAAAGGCAAACTAGCATGTGAATTTTAATAAACTGGTGAATATGACATTTTAGGAAAGACTTTAAAACCAAGAATGATAGCTCATTTCACATTTAATGTCTTTTTAAAAGTATATCTATTAATATATGAATATACATAGGAGTGTGTGTCTACATCTGCTAATAGTATGCATCTACTAAAGTTTATTTGCTAATTATATATGCATCATGAAATAACAAGGCTCATCAGAATTAATGAATAATGGCACATGTTAAGGATGTTATTCTTAGCCCCCATGTACTAAATCTTATGAGTGTGTTAGTATTTTATACAAAATATGAGACTCTCCTAAAAGTTGATTGCCTGTAGGATTGAGCATCCTTAATTAATAAAACTGAAATCTGAAATGCTTGAAAATTAAAAATTTTCTGAGCCACTAATATAATATAGGTAGAAAGTTTCACAACATTATTAATGCACACAGTTATTTAAAAATATTACATAAAATTGCAGACTATGTGCATGAGGTATACATGAAACATAAATGAATTTTCTGGTTACACTTTGGTCCTATCCCCAAGATATCTCATTTCCTATGTATATGCAAATATTTCAGAATCTAAAAACACCCAAAATCTAAAAAGTTTCTGTTGCCATGCATTCAGGATAAGGGATTCTCAGTCTATATTTACTTGTGTAGGTAAGGTATTATATGTTTTATAGGTAATAAGATGAAATGGTCATTAAATACAATTAACATGTTGGGTATTCACATATTGTAGCTTTTCTTTTAGTGTATTTTTTGTTTTGTTTTTGTTGTTTATTTGTTTGTGGGTTTGTTTTTTTTTTCCAGTACTGGGAATTGAACCCCCCAGGGATGCTTTACCACTTACCACTGTGCTACATGTACCCTATCCTTTTAAAAAAATTTTCTGGGAAAAGGTCTTGCTAAGTTTCTAAGGCTGGTCTTAAACTTGTAGTTCTTCTGCCTTATCTTCATAAGTCACTGGGATTACAGTTATGTGCCTCCACACCTGGTTTGTGTTATTTTAAGTTTTAATGTTATGCTTCGTATGTCTTCATGGGTGGAAATTTTTATAAGTTTTAATTCAAATGTGAAGGACATTAGTATGCAAGTGTGAAATAGAGGGTCTTAGTACTCTGCTTCATCTATGGGTATCTATGATATAGATAAATATTTTTAAGAAATCTAAAGAATGCTCAATCTATGTTAAAAGAATATGAAAGGCCTTAAAGTACACCATTTTAAAATGTGTCATCTTTAATATGTTTTGTTCCAGAAAATGAAGCAATGTAATTTGAAGCAACCATAAATAACTCTTTTTCATCCTGATTTGGGGAACTTAAACATACCTGAGAATAAGAATAGATCAGGTTTCCCATTTTACAGCCTTTACAAACACATCCCCCACCTCGGTTGTAGATAGACAAAATACCTTTATTTTGTTTATATATTTTTATGTGGTGCTGAGGATCAAACTCTGTCTCTCACCTACCAGTGAACTACAACCCCAGCCGTTAACTTTTTATCTCTTAACTACAGATTTGTTCACTCATTTCTTGAATTAAGTATTATGTTATGTAAACCTCATGATGAATGAGACACAATCTTTGTGCTAAGGGATTTTACAGGGTAGGAGGAGAGATAAGATTAGAAACAACTATAATATAGGATAACATGTAATATATTAGCATGTGAGTAGTATAATTGAATTGTTAAGTTTAGCCATTACAAAGAAATCTTTTTCTTAGCTTGAGGATGAGGGAGAACTTCTCTAAACAATTGACATTTAAATTGTGTCTTTTAAAAAATGGTGATTTGATAAAGATGTATTGCTGTGAATTCCTTCAGATAGCAGGTTAACATGGAAACTTTAGCAAGTTATAAAAATAAAGACATGTCTGTAACTCCAGTGGCTTGGAAGGCTAAGGCAGAAGGATTGCAAGTTTAAAGCTAGCCTCAGCAATTTAGTGAGAGATTAAGCAACTTAGTGAAAACCTGTCTCAAAATATAAAGATATAAAGGGCTGGAGATGTGGCTCATTGGTTAAGTGCCCCTGGGTACCAAAAAATAAACAAATACACACACACATACATACATACATGCACACATGCAATAGAGGGTCCAAAGGGAGAAATTTCATCCTTATGTGGAACTCACCCAGATGAATCTAACATAACAGTGATTTGAAGAAAATAGTCATGGTGATGACCTGAATTTCAAGTGGTTAGAAGCAAATCAAGCAGTAGCTTATCTTGGAAGTAAGCTGTCAAATCAAAGATCAGCCTACTCTTCACTTTAGTTCACTAAGACTTTAAGAGTTTGAGATTTTATAAGAGAAAGGAAGTAGAAGGGATTCGTTCTCTTTAGAGAATATGTCAAATTTCAGATGAAGAGAGGAAGTAAGGAGTAGAAGTCAAGAGATCAGATTTGGAGTAAATGAAGTTTTCATGTTAGCAAACTGGTGATTTTCTCAGAACACAATGAGGACAAGAACAGAGGCAGGTTGTTAGAAGGCTACAAATGAAGAGAGAATGAAGGGGATATATGAAAGTTTAAATATCAAAGCAAATCCAGTAGAATAGAACTCTTTTTAATACTTAAGAGATTTTTGGCACAGTGAAAGTTGAATAGTGTTATTATTTTGAAAATACATTTAATAAAGCCAAATAAATAAAAGAGTTATAGAACTCTTCCCATAGTGCCTTAGAGTATCTTGTACAGATATTTACTTCAATATTTTTATGATTATAGGAGATCATTAGTTTCATCTTTTCTTAGAGTCCTGCCTGAAGTTTTACAGAATAATAGTCAATGTTTATTATAGCACTTGTATAATTTCACAGTTTTTTACATTGAATATATATAAAACACACACATGTATAAATATCTAATATTATTCAGTATTTCATTTCTTAGACAAAAAATTTTCAAGCCCTTTGAAGGGTTTATTAATGTTCTGGTTTTACCTGATGATGAAACCAAGGTGTCTACATATACCTGTGTTTATTTTGTTTTATTTGTGGGGCTGGTGGGAATTGAACCCAGGGCCTTAAGCCTGGTAGTTAAACATTTCAGTCTCTGAACTAGAAGACTAGGCCACCCTGCTACTCCCCCTGTATCTTTTTTTTTTTTTTTTTTTTTTAATGCTAGAAATTGAACTCAGTGTTTTACTCAGCAAGCACTCTACCACCGTGCTATGCCCCAGCACTCCCTCCTCACCCAATCTTTAGTTTTAGGTTTTTCTTTCAAGAAAGCTGCTGTCTGGTAAAGACATTAAAACACTTTGTTTTGTTTTATTGGGGAAGTGTGTGTGTGTGTGTGTGTGTGTGTGTGTGTGTGTGTGTGTGTGTTTATGTGTATATGTGTTTTAACTCATGAATACTTTAGAAACTTGCAGAATATTGAAGAGTATGGACAATGAGATGTCTGTGAATTGCTGTTTTGTGACTTTGGGGATTCCTTCATTCTTGAATAATTCACAAATTGGATATTCCCTATTGGAATAATTCAATGTCATCTCTTCTGTATGATTTAGTGTCTGCTCTAGGTGAATTTGATTTAAAATAAACATATTTAAATTTTAATTTAACTCACTTGTCAAGAAAATACTATTAACTCATTTTTCCCATAAAAGCAGTTTTTTTTTTCATTTAATCTGAATAACTATTCTAAATTTGGTTTTGTTTTCATAGAAGAAAATTTTAAAATTAATTTTTTGTTGTTTCAGACACCATATGTTTGGTTGTTTTATATACATAAGTCAATTGGAATACATAGTGCAAAAGTTATCCCTTGCTCAACTAATTATATACACACAAGCATTTTGGGAAGAACCTAGCCAGTATCTGCATCAGAATCAAAATCACTATGAGAAATTTTAAATACTGTTATTAGGCAGCTGATTATTTTCTTCCTTTAGGAAACTTTGGTTAGGATTTCTAGCCAATAGATTAAAAATATCACCACTGATTATTTTCGCATAAGAAATTTTCTTGAGTTTCTCCAAATAATCTACAGAAAGCTTCAAACCCCTTTAAAGAGTTTGTGATTCATACAGGAAACAACGTGTAAACATTGTGTGATAGATACCCTTTAACTCAGATCAAAGGTCAGCAAAGTTTAGAATCAGTTATTGTTATCATTTAGACCTGTGTCCAAAAGACAAAATTTAGGCTACAGTGTGGATACTTATATACAAGAGAAGAAGAATATGGCCAGAGATATTTATTGATAAATATCAATATATAATAATAAGTGAATACAATTTTTAAAATGCAGGATCACTAATAGGAAGAATGAAATGAAGGAGGGAGATAATATTTTGCTCAAAATAATTGCAAATGTTTATCTGAGAAAATAACTCTTAGGTCATAGATTATGTAAGAACAAATGGCAGACCAGATTCAGCTTATGGGCCGCAATTTGCTGACTCCTTTATTAGATAATAACTTACTACTATCTGTGTTACTTTGAGCTTGAACAAAAATCAGGCCTGTACTTTGGTAATCTTATTGAAGATAAGGCATTCAAAGAGAAATTGGTCAGTTCTAAGGGTTTACATATGCTTGTATTTAGGTATTCTGTTTGTTCTAGTGGAGAAACAGAAGTCTTTGTTTTCTTTCCTTGTCTTTCTCATAAAAGTCTGGTCTTTTAAGAATTTGTTGAATTTTTAAGGAAATAAAAATTTGTAATAGACATTTTAATAAAGGAAAAAATAGGTCTAGAATATATACTCCTACGAACAGAATAAAGTGTAGTTTTTATTAATACGTACTTTTTCGGCAGTAAAGTTTAATATTCCACCTATCCCATTAATTTTTTTATACAACAAAAACAAGGCAAAGCCTTTCTTAAAATGGCTGGTATTTTCACCTGTGAGAATGATAACAGTTTCTTCCTTAATCATTTTAAAGATTTTTAAGAGAACAGTGTGCGCGCAGTTGCTTAATTAATATACAGACCCGTAGTCCATTCACGACTGATTTTTCCTGTTGCTTTTCATTTTTCTGGAATTTCTGTGTAAGATATATTCACTTACCAGTAAAAAAAAAAACTTCATAAATACTATGTGACAGCCCTGTTTCTAATGTGAGTTATATACAGCATGCATGAGATGAACCATATCTGATATTAGACTGATGTTTCCAGTGGCATTCAGTAAAGTGTCTGTCTGATGTTGTGATGTTTAAGCACTCAAATATTTGGTGTTCTTGGTTTGTTGTAATTTCATATTTTCACACAAGTTTGGTCTGTTTACCTTTTTTATTTTTGTGTCCTTTCTTTCTGTGTTCTCCCCTCCTCTCTGCTTCACCTTTCTTTTAGCAAAGATGAGGATTTCTACCTTCAACATACATTGTTGGTCTTGTCTTCTGTTTTTGTTAGGAGGGACAGCAGTGTGATAAAAGAGGAAATCAAAGCCTTTCTTGCCAATCGGAGGATTTCCCAAGCAGTTGTTGCACAGGTAACAGGTAAGAGCTGAAGAGCCCTTTATTCTGAAATTATGTCTTGTCTCTGCCTTCTGTGCAGATGTTATTTGCATTTCTGCATTGCAGTGCAGATTTGTCAACTTAGGCATAATAATGTATGCCTATGATTTAAAACCTTTGTCTCTGTTATCACAAAACTTCTCCATTGATTCTTTTTTTTTTCACATGTGCTAGTAAGTTTTATAGCATTTGTAATAAGCAAAAAATTCGCTATGTTATGGCTAAAAATCGGTTTCTCTAGTTTTAATTGTAACAGAGCTTATGACACATGCACATCCAAATGCTAGCTCCATTTATATTTATAAAAGCTTTGGAGTCCTCCAAATTGAGTTCCTTATTGTACCAGTTAAAGAGTGATTTATGAGGGCAATGAAGCTATGGGGATTTTGTAACCACTTTTCTGTATGTGAAAGCTTTCCTCAAACCATTATTGAGAAGATGTGTTACCATTGTCTTCTCTTTGTTATTTATATCCCATCCCATTCTCCACCCTCACCCAAAACCCATCTTTAATATGTGGTGTATATGTGTCATTCTCTATTCAGATTGCATTTTTTATAAAGTTCTTAAATTTGGTCTTAGCATGTCTTTGTTGGTATGTGGTCTTTTTCTTGCATTTCAGTGATTTATAAGAATCTAAATTATTGGAGGAACCAAAAACTCTTTCAGCTACATTTTGTAGTTTCAGTGTTGTATGTTTGACATTAGTAAACTTAAAATTGATTTACCCTCTTTTTTTTTTTTAACACAACACCAGGAACCTATGTGACTTTAGACTTTTCATTCTCTGTGCCACAATTTTCTTTATGAAATTCTGTGTTTCTATAATGAAAAACCTGGATCTGATCTTCAGTGGTATCTTTCAATTTTAAGATAGTCTTTCTCTTCTGAGACATTGATATGTATTGAAACTAATTTACTTAGAAGGCTGTTACTGAGTATTAATTTGGTTATAAAAACAAAATTTAAGATTTAGGATTTTTAACTTTCCTTTCAAATATTAAATATCGAAGTTCAGCTACATGTGGGAGTAATATATTATTATAATAGTGATATATTTTTGTAAATGACACACCTCTCTTCTTGGTGAGAGTTTTAAGACATGCCCTTCCATGTAGAAGTTGTGGAGGGGGGCAGGTACTAGGGACTTAATCCAGGGTACTCTATCCCTGAGTACCCCTAGCCCTTTTATATTGTTCTTTTAAGACAGTGTATCCCTAAGTTGTAGAGGCTGGCCTTGAACTAGGATTCTCTTGCCTCAGCCTCCCAATTTGCTGAGACTATAGACATGAGCTACTGCTCCTAGCCCATTTAGAAGTCTTAAACCCAAGGAGGGGTGTGAATTTAATTATTATCTTTAGGTGTTTATCAATGGGTTATTTTAAATTCTTAATCTTTATCTTCAAGCACTAAGTCATGGTGCATACTACAGTACAGTATAAGGGCAAGTTACACAGATTTTATTGAAACTCACTGATGTGACAGGCTATGAATAGATGGAATTTTGTCCTTTTGCACTTTTAATTCAGCCTTCATGACTGGAAGCAATAGTATGTTCTAGTTTATAATACTTAAAAAAAGACAAAATTGTAGTACATCATTACAAAGTTGATATTGTTCAGGTAGAAATATTTCTGAATGTGTTATATACACTGAATCTTTAATCATCTTGGGCTTTTAAAATAGTGGCTTTGGAACCCATCCAACATTGATGCAAATCATAATAAGATTCCTTTAGAAAGTGTTTCTCAGGCACATCTAAAAGCACTAGATATACCATAATGGGCTAAACATGGTACATCAAATATTGCCATTTTGGATAAGAAACTGAAAGATGTCTTCATATTTTGCTTCTCAAAATATAAACCATGAAACCGCTGTGTTGAGATCACCTGGGAGCTTCTTAGAAATGTAAAAATACAAAAGTACCTACTGAGAACAATTTTAACCACATCTCCAAGTAATTTAGGTTTGAGAAATAATATTCTAGTGTAAGGGTCCGGCGAACGTCGGAGGAAGAGACCACCAAGAGACTGGCTCATGCAATCAGCAAAAGGGGATTTATTGAGAATCCAGCATGCTGGGGCTCCGTGCTCACTCAAGAAGGGAGAGCAGCCCAGAGCCCAGAGCAGAGGTTAAGAAGTGCTTAAGTACACTTTTTGGGTAGGGCGGGGGCTTTGCATACATCAGTACCAATCATCTTGAGGCGCAGGTAAATTGAACAACAACTCTCATACATGATTAGCACATTCATTGGCAGGAACAGCTCGGGATGGAGTGGTAGGTCATTCCTAAGGAGGGGATACATTCAAACTGATTGGTTCAGGCCCTGAATGCCTATGTGCCAACCTGCACAGGGTCCTAGATTATTAAACAACTAAGTGGTCAGTACCGGGCATTGTCCTAACTGCCTCAGGAATTTCAGGTTCTGTTTGCAGTTCAGAAACTTTACAATACCTAGTCCTTTACATTTTAACTCAGGCTTTGCAGCTTAGAAACTTTACCCTTTCACTAGGAGACTAGTAAACGTTCCTGACATTAACTTCAGTGGGTTGACATTGTTTAACATTATATCATTCAGTAGTATGCCAGATCTTGTTTTTGAAAGCAAGAGTTAAAATACATATTTAGACAGTTATCATCTGTTACATAGCACATGGACCTTCCTTTTGCTCCCATAATTGTGGAACTCTTTAGTGTTAAAAAGTCTTCCCTCATTTCAGCATCATCCCAACTTGTTCTTCCTTTTCATTTCTACTCCAAAAACTTGGGTTGGGATCATCCTTCCTCAGGCACATATCTTTAGTGATTCTCCACTAAGAGTCTAAAAAAAATTCCATGTAATACAACTCTAGCTTCCTTTTCTTCATCTTCTATTCAGTATACCCTCTAACCATATTCAGCAAAACTCCTATAGTTTCCAGAACTCTGCTCAGGTGTATGCTTTTACATTCTTGATTGTTACCTAGGAGGCCTTTTACCTCCTCATCACATCCTTATCAATCTCCATTTTTCAAGATTATCTCAGCTGTTATCTTCTTGCTGTTATCATGTATTCTGAATTTCCCTGCCCTAAGTGTTAGTGCTCATTTTAGTTACCATTTTAGAGGAGTGGTCTTCAAAGGCAGTGATCTTTTCCTACACATGCCCAGAAGCTAGCATTGAACAGGCATTCTGAACATTTCCTGTTTACCTAGCTACCTTGTAGAGCTACTTTGTGATATAAAGGGATTGTTGATGATGTTAACACAAACTAAACGTGAAAAATAGTCCATTTTGACCTTTCCAAGAATAATTATTTATTTGCTTAACATATGCCACATGCGTTTTTGCCCATAAGAAAATTACTTTTTTTTTTTTTTTAAATCTACAGAGGATCTTTGAGGAACATTGGTAACCAGACTGGCATATTTTTTTCTTTTGGCCAATTTATTTTAATTCTTTTGTTTCTACTATATTATTTATTATGTTACCTTTTTACGCAGCCTGTCAAGCCATCAAGCTAACAAACAAGGACAGAGCTGCTCTCTGAAGAGTATAGAAAGTTAGTAAGAGTCTGAATAAAGGCTGACCCTCATAATTGACATACCTAGAATAGAGAGAACCTGGGAAATGAATCCTCAGCATCCATTGCTTACTCCCTAGAACGCCTGAACAGTGTGTAGACACAGTTTTCTGTCTTTAAACAAATTAGTCAAGTTTATCTGAAAAGAACATCTACCCAATGAAATCTATCCCCAAAATAAAGTTTAGAATGTGATGTTCTGGAATTTTGTCCTGTAATAGATTCTCTTAAATTAAGTCATTTAAGTTCAACTCTAATATGTGAAATCAACCTTGAGATAAAAATGAGAACGAATGATGCATAACAACAACAACCAAAAAAAAAATGCTAAAAAATGTAGTGAGGTGCAAAATTATAACACATGTGTTGTTCCAGAAACAAGTACAGAAATTTCTTATTATAGATTTGGCAGATTTCTATAATAAGATAAACAAGAAGTTCATGGGTGGGGTCTGTATAAATAATATCCTACTGATAGGAAAAATGACAGTATAAACAGGATATAATAACAGTGCCTGCTGAATTCCCAGAATGTTATTTGTAGCTTCCTTCACAGTCATAGCTGCTCCCACTGAGGGTGGACTTCTACTTCTGTAAGAGGTCGGCCAAGATTCTAAATTCTCACTAACAATGGGGGTGGAGGAATGAGCATAACCTTCACTTTAATAATAAACACATGTGTTCTATATTCACTTTCAAGGTAAAATGTTTTCTTAGGCTGTTTAAGAATTCTGAAAACATAATATTTTTTAAAATGACCTGGGAAAAATCAGGCACACAGAATAAATGAGTGAATGGACAGAGCTTGATGTGTACTTATCACCAAAGAAATGTACTAATTGGATTCATGTCCTTCGAAAAAAATAAGTATGTGGAAGAAGGGAAAAACACACTTAGCAACTCTGAATTTTAAGAAATTTATCACATTTTTAAAAAAATCATAGTAATATTATGGAAAAGCCACAAAATACCTAGGTTTTAGTTTTTCTGCCATTAAATTGCCTTGTGACTAGGAGCCTCATTTTCCATACTTAAAAGATGAGGGGTGTTTTAGTCAGCTTTTTCACTGCTATGACTAAAAGATCTGACCAGAATAATTTTAAGAGGAAATTTATTTGGAGACTTAGGATTTCAAGAGGTCTCAGTCCATAGAAAGCTGGCTCTATTCCTCAGGGCACAAGATCAGGCAGAACATCATGATAGAAGAGTACATCATGTTAGAAGAGTGTAGCAGAGGGAAAGAGCTCACACGATGATCAGAAAGCAGAGAGAGACTTCACTCACCAGATTAAAAAAATATATACCCCAAGCCACACTCCCAGTGCCCCACCTCCTCCATTACCATTCAGTTAATCCCATCAGGGATTTGTTTACTGACTGGGTTAAGGCTCTAACAACTCAATCATTCTTCTCTGAA